AATTCCATTCAGATCAGTATAGTTGGAGAAAATATAGGCGGAAATGGGCGAACTCCAACCTTTGTTGATTTCCAAGGAATTGCCTATGCTATTAAGCGCTGCGGAGAAAAGATTCTTGTTTCTGCGTGCTGAAGTATAAAAATACATTCATAAAGAGCAGGAACAGCAGAAGAAACACTTTAGACAGTGAAGCAGTTAAACTGGCGGAAAAGAGGTCGTGGATATATCTTTAGGTGTTTCAAGCTAGGAATTTCAGCAAATCATCCAGTTCTGTAGTTATACTTTCAAGAGCTAGGACTTCTTGATTATGAGTAAATATAAATTCAATAGCTGTTCTGCAATGTGCATCTCAAGATCGTGGACGGAGTCAAGTAAACTACAAGCACTGTCGACATCAACTCGATGCTGTCGACAGGAGGTGGACCGGAGGATACCGCTCGGGTGTCATCATCTCGCATGGGCTCCCCGTCCCACCCACCGATAGAAGTTCAGTTCCCCAAGACCAAACGGACACATGTAACCCGGATTTCAATCCGGGGCTTATAGGTTTGAAGTTTAACTACGAGTCACCTCAAAGTTACCCGTTCATATGCGAATAAAAATTTTTCTTTACGTTAATATTGAAGTAATACATGTACAGATTCATGCCGAATATGCAATCCGGGTATTCAGGATACTAGATATCTAGAGTATCAAGTGCTATTCACCGAGTTCTATAGGCTTTAGAGTAGTTTGGGCTGACGAGCTGTCTCTGTGCTCACGATACTTGTACAGTTTTCGCTCGTATTTTTCGGTTAGCGTTGCCGTCAGTGGTGATTTGGTTTGTCCAAGTTGTAATCTCACGTGATGTCTCTTTGTGTTGCCAGACTACAGCCTGGAAATGTGATAGGCGAAATTTATGAAGAACTAATTCGAAGACGTTATTCGGAACGTGTCATATGATCACTGTTCCAGGTGTCAGTTACATTGATTGCTTGCAGTATTATACGGCGATAAAAGAAGGATTTGTGTTCTCAGGATTCTAAAATGCAATTGTATTAAAACTTGCATATTCTATTTTTATGAAGGGGCCGAGTTTGGTCGGAGCGGTTCTCCATTATTCGTCATCTTCTTTTGTTACTAAAGTTTCTGGCAGCCTGAGCCTACATTTTGCGTTACATGCATTGAATCTCAGATAATGCTGCCGATTTAGATGTTTACTCTGGGTAACTATGCGTTACTGTATTTCCGCCACTGCCGTTTTCATTAGTTATTCTGGTATTGTTTCTAATGCCTTTTGTTCCTTCCATGTTTTGAACGCCATACGAGCTCCACCAGTTTGTTTTATAGGTTTATTGCAATGCTTCTTACACACTCCGTTTTGAAAAACGTGTAAAATCTGTTTGTTTCGTGCATTTTGGTAAACCAGCCACAGCCCACTATGGCCTTAAACACTAAACCTCCGGACTTTGAAGAGATGGACATATATAAACTCAATCAAGCCCTGGAAAAACAACTCTTTCTCCTGAACAAGTAAGTTTAATTTTCCATCCATGTCCAAGTCATCAGACTCTTTGAATTTGCCAAAATTAGTTTGTTTGTTTTTTCGTAACCGCAGAAATTATTTAACACACTCGCCTTCAGTTTTTCATCTCAGAAATCATGCTGCATTTTTACGTTTCCCCTTTATAATCTTCCAGAATGGGTGATCGTCTTCCTGACTCGGGAAAAAAACTAGAAAAATCAATCGCCAGGCTCAAGTTCCTAATTTCTAAAGCAGAGAGGCGACTGCCTCCCTCCCAATTATTTGCAATTCAACCGAATCTCGTGTCACGACCATCACAATGCCATAGGCAAGCATTTTTTAATATATTACTCTCACCCTACTATTTGTTTTCAGTCAAAAACTTTTGACGGTGCGCGGCGAAGAACCTTCCTCAAAATCTACCTCAGCAGGTTGCACCACTACGGAGTCTGAAGTTGACTCACTCGTCAGCACCCTCGAACTGCTTAACCTCAGTAAGCTATTTCCCATCTTCACCCTTTCCGGCTTGATTTGCTGTGACACGTCCAGACTATACATAGTGGTGACAATGATGGTTGTGTCGTCCAACTTCACCCATTAGTTATGTGGAGCGCTGTTCTCTGAATGACTCTTCAGATCTGTCAAATAGGCAAGCATGACAAAGAGAATGCCGGTGACAGTTGAATACATAAGCCCGAGTCTTAATTAGTATATGACAAGTACTTATTTTATTTAAGTAGGCGTGCTATACCTGTGTCTGCATCTGGTGTGTCCTCTACGCTGCGTCTAACTTTTACATTTAGGATCAGGATTTAAAGCTGAAGTGAGTGTTAATATTAAAACTAAGTTTTGGGTTACAGTTAGAGTTAGGGATTACTTTTCATGGTTAGAGTTAGTATTTAGAGTTAAGGTTAGTGGCCGGAAATTAAGGTTTGGCGACAGGGTTAGGGTTATCAACATCAATTTACATTGGTTTCAACCGAACAATCTGTCAGGTCGGTGTGCGCTTGTGCTCATAGCTGCTTTTATGCGTGAGGTCGCTTATCTGCGTCGTACCCTTTTTGCCGATTTGTACTATGGGGCTGGATACTGTGATGCAATGTTTCATGTAAGCTGGCTAATTTCCTGGATATTATATCATGCTATCTGTGGGTTACGTTCGC